GTGGCATCACCCCGGCTCCCCAGTGTCCTGTCCCCAAGGGTGACCCCACCTTGCTCCTCATCGTCCCACAAGCCACGTGGACACCGCTCTGAGTCCTTGCTGTCCTGTCCCCCCCAAGGTGGCATCGCCGCGGCTCCGCTCTGTCCTGCACCCCAGGGGACACGGCCCTGCAGCTCCTCATTGTCCCCAAAAAAACCACCCCACGTCACCTGAGCTGTCCCACAGCTGAAGGTCACAGCGACACATGGCTGTCCCCCACCCTGGGGACGTGGCATCCCTGGGGGGACAACATCTCCTTGTGTCACCGTGGACAGCCCTTCATCCCTTCCACCCCCCCAGCGCCCGAGCCGGCTCTGCGCTGTCCCACCCGTGCCAATCTCTCTTTGTGGGGCTCACAAAACCAGGGACCCCCCCTTTGTCCCTGGAGCCACCCGGCAGGGGAACACAAGCCCCAGGCAGCAGCAGCAGCAGAATTCCAAGCCTCATGTAAAGCTCGGCATTCCCGGTTGGAAGCTGGAGCCACCGCTCGCCCAGGCTCCGGCTCAGATCCAACCTCAGGAATTCAGCTGTCCCCAAAGCTTGTGGATTCTCTGCTGGCTATAAGGGCTTCCTCTCCAGCATGAGCTTGTTTTGCTGGTTTTTTTGGGTTTTTTTGGGTGAAAATGCCTGGCTCGAGATGACTTTTTAGCCTTCTTCCCTTTTTCAAGGCGGCTCTGGCCTGTGAGTTCAAGAAATTTCCTTGAACACAAAAGCCTCGCTCAGGGGGTTGCATAAACCTGGCTCAGATCATAAACCAGCCTTAAAACCCCAGGAGATCCCCCAGCAGAGCCAGGATGGGTTTGTCACCACACGAGGACATCTGGAACACGTGAAGGTAACGGCGTGAAGAGCTTCAAAAGTATCGTAACAAAATATTGTAATAAAATATTGAAATAAAATAAAATATTTAGGGGTAGTTGTGCTGCACAGCACCTGGCACGCCTGGCACGGTGTCCCCAGCACATGGATGTGGCCGTGTCCCCACGGTGACAGGAGCAAGGCAAGGTGACTCCAAAGGAGCCCTTGGCGAGAGGTTTTGCCGGACAGATGTCAGCAGCCGTGGCTTTGTGCTTTTTTTTGTCTCGGTTTTTTAACATTTGCCATTTTTCTCCGCCGCTTTCTTCTGCTCTGACACTTGCTGAGGGTTTTTCTTTCTTTCTTTTCTCCCTCTCTTTCCACATTTGCTTTTCCATCCCCGGTTCAAACACTTTTTCTCCGTGTATTATGCTGAAGTTGGAACCATCTGGTGCTTTGTTTTGTTGTGAGCCCGGCGAGTGCCAGGACCTTTATCCCCCTCCTCCTCCTCCTCCTCATCACTAATCCGAGTGACAGCCCCAAAAAATCCCCCCTGTCCCCCAACAAAGCCACGGGCCACACTCGTGTGTGGGTGGGCCATGTGTCCCCATGTCCCCACTCACAGGGATGCGCAGCCCCCCCGCCCCAGCAGAGCTGGAAATGTTATAAATGTAAATTATATTATTGGTTTTTTTTGCAAATATTGTAATGGATGTTATGTGGATAAGGTTAGAAAACTCGGTTGTGTTAATATAGGTTCTTTTATTTCTGGTATTGAAATTTATTATTGAATAAATGTTATTATTTCTTGTTATTGAAATTTAGAAATAGTGGTATAATACACATATATGTTAAGCTATAACATGATATTAAAACAAAAACTACTTTTTGTTTCTATAACACAAAGATTGAAAAGACAATCAGAGACCTTCCTGCATTCTTAAAATTATCTTATCCTCCAAGACCTCCAAGAGAAGGATTTATTCCATCCTTATCAAAGGATACAAAACCCAGTGATGCCAAGATTGATCTATTGGGAAGGGGGCAAGGTAAAAACTAAACAAAAGAACATTAAAAAAATTAAGAAGAATGTATGAGAATTTATGGATATGTAGTAGGGTTCTGTTTTTAAGGGACAACCCTTTGTTAGTAAGGTGAATGCAGAGTAAAAAAGGTATATTTTACTTTATTTTTACCCCCTAATTGTCTTTCTATTAAACTTTTAAAATTCTATATAAAAATATGTGAACCTCATTTTTCACAGTAATCATCCCAGTGCGAATTCCTGCCTCATTTTTAGGACCAGCTGTTAGCAGAGGAACTCTGATTTTATTTTTCCCATAGGAGAAAAGCGTTTTTCCAGGGAGCCACGGAGCCCTCCAGCCTATTTTTGGAACCCCCTTTTTTGCAGCGAGCAGCTGCCGCTCCCAGGATGGCATCAGAGGAAGGAAAACTCAGCTCAACCAACCCCTGGGGAACACAGGTGTGAAAAAGGAGGTTCACGTGTTTTTATAGAGAATTTAAAAGGTTTAATAAAAAGACAATTAGGAGATAAAAATAAAGTAAAATATACTTTTTTTACTCTGCATGTCTCTGCATTCACCTCACTGACAAAGGGTTGTCCCTTAAAAACAGAACCCTACTACATATCCATAAATTCTCATACATATTCAGACATTCTTCTTAATTTTTTAATTAATTTAAATTAATTAATTTTAATTAATTTAATTTTTTTGATGCTCTTTTGTTTAGTTTTTACCTTGCCCCCTTCCCAATAGATCAATCTTGGCGTCACTGGGTTTTATATCCTTTGATAAGGATGGAATAAATCCTTCTCTTGGAGGTCTTGGAGGATAAGATAATTTTAAGAATGCAGGAAGGTCTCTGATTGTCTTTTCAATCTTTGTGTTATAGAAACAAAAAGTAGCTTTTGTTTTAATATCATGTTATAGCTTAACATATATGTGTATTATACCACTATTTCTAAATTTCAATAACAAGAAATAATAACATTTATTCAATAATAAATTTCAATACCAGAAATAAAAGAACCTATATTAACACAACCGAGTTTTCTAACCTTATCCACATAACATCCATTACAATATTTGCAAATAATACAATTTACACTTATAACACCGGAATTGTTGGACATCAGCACCGATGGATGCGGGGCTGGCACCCCAAATCAGGGTGTGGGTGACCCCTGTGCGAGGCTCAGGGTCAGAAACACTCTCCCAGCTTGGATTTGGCTGCTCCATCACGTTTTCCTTCCCATTTTTCCCTGGACAATGGGGTGCTTTGTTCTGGGATGAGGAAAAGTCCGGCTGGAGCTCGGGGTGGAGCTGGGAGCTGCTCCTGCATTCCTGGGCTATTTCCAGCTGTGCCTTGCTGGGCACAGGGATCCGGCCAAGACAGGGGGGAAAAGGACATAAAATAACCCCAAAAATAAAAAAAATCAGCCAAAAAAAGCTATGAAACCATCAGCAAAATAAAGGGAAAAAGGAAATAACGCTGTAGGAATAAAAAAAAAACCCAAACTTTTGGAGCTGGAGGGAACCTCCCCATCTCCCAGCTGGTGCCGGGAGAAGTTTGGAATGACATAAACCCAAACTTTGCTATTTTTTGCACAAAACAAAGGCGAGCCTCGGTGGTATCGCCACTCCACGGCTCGCTGCTGCCATCCCACGTCCAGTGGCATTCCCAGAGCCGCCTCTAGGGCCTGATCCTGCCTGATTCCCTCCTTGGATTTTCCCTTCAGCCCAGGAAAACCTCGTGTTTGCTGGGCTGGTTCTTTACGGCAAGAAATATTTGGGTGGTTGCTCCATCCTGGTGAGCACTCAGAGCTTCCCAGACCTTTCCAACCCTCAGGAGCTCCAGATCTCCTCTGGCACCTCGTCCATCCCTGGATCAAACCAGAGTTCCTGAGGATTTCCCAACATCTTCATGAGAATTCCCTGCCAAGCTGCAGCCCCGGCACTCGCTGGGGGTGGAAGGAAAAGCTCTTGGCTGTGGAACCAGCTGGGTTTGTTGGTCATTTCCCCCGTTCTCCTGCCCCTGAGGCTCGGGAAGAGCAGCTCGGGGCTGGCTGGTGCCACCTCATTGCACCAGCTGCTGATGGGGAGCGCGGAGACGCCGGCCCCGGTTGGACTGGACCTGTTTGTCTTTGGATTTGCATTTTGCTGGTGAGGTAGGATTAGATGGGATATTGGGAAAGAATTGTTCCCTGGGAGGGTGGGGAGGCCCAGGGTGACCAGAGGAGCTGGGGCTGCTCCTGGATCCATGGAAATGCCCAAGGCCAGGTTGGACAGGGCTTGGAGCAGCCTGGGATAGCAAAAGGTCTCCCTGGCCAGGAATGGGATGGGATTTAAGCTCCCTTCCAACCCAAACCATTCTGGGATTCCATGATTCCAACTCAGGAAAAGCAGCAAAGTCTTACTTTGGAGGGCAGGTGGGTAAAAGCGGCTCCAAACGCCAGCCTGGGTGGCTGCTCCTCTGGGAGAAGGTTTGTGATGATTTATGGGGTCTCTGCCGTGGGCCCCACTCTCAGGCGAGGGCAGGGCCCAGCACATCCAGCACCTGGCAGGGAATTCTGCTGGAACGGGGATATTCCTTTCCTGGTGGGAAGTTTCATCCTGAAGAGCTGATTCATCCTGCCAGAGCTGCAGGTGGGCGGCTCAGCTGAGAGGTTTCCACCCTTCCTGCTGAATCCTGCCTTTAGCGTTAAACCGTTTGAAAAATGATTTTCATTTTTTAACCTGGAAGTTTTTCCCTCTGTGCTCGTTTTCCCTGGTGTGTCACCTTAGTGCTGTCCCCACGCTCCTCTCTTGGGGGACAGCGGAGATTTTCTAGGGTCCCCTCTAAACCCAGCCTTGGCTCACAGGGGGCTGCAGCTTTTCTGGGGTCCCCCTTAAACCTGCCGGTCCCTGGGGGACAGAGGGCATCTGTCCCCAGATCTGGGGTCCCGGGGGGAAAGGGGACTGTCACCCTGACGGGGTCCCTCCAGCGCGGCCAGTTCTGGGGGACAGACCCGCCCGGAGCCCCGCAGCTCTAAACCCAGCCTTTGGCCCTGTCCCCGGCGGGGTGGGCGTGGCATGGGCGTGGCCGGTGGGCGTGGCATGGCGGGGTGGGCGTGGCCTGGTGACACCGGCGTGTCCCCGTGACGTGGGCGTGTCTCCGTGACGTGGGCGTGGTCTGTCGGCGCTGTCGGGCGCGCAGCGATGCGGCGTCGCGGCGGGGACGGCGACGGTGGCGACAGCGGCGACATTGGGAGGGCGGAGGGCAGGTCCGGCGCGGCCCGGCAGGGACGGTGAGTACCCGCCACTATGGGGACATCGCCGTGGGGACACCGCCCTGGGGACATCGCCGTGGGGACATCGCCGTGGGGACACCGCCCTGGGGACATCGCGTGTCCCCGTCCCCGAGCCGTGTCCCCTGTCGCGTCTCTCATGCGCTGTCCCCACTCCGTGGCCTGCTCACCCTGCTGGCGCCGTGACCCCGTGTCTGTCCCCGCTGCCATGGCCGTGCCACCCTGTCACTGGCACCGGCCCATGCTGTGCCCGTGTCCCCGGATCGTCTTGCCATAAGGGTGACTCCACACCGTGGCCGTGTCCCTGTGTCACCCCGCCAGCACCGTGACCCCGTGCAGCGGCCGTGTCCCCGTGTCACCCTGCATGGCCACGATCCTATCCTGAGGCTGTGTCCCCCCTGGCCCCGCTGGCGCTGTCCTGCTGTCACCGTGCTGTCACCGTGCTGTCACCCTGCTGTCCCTTTTGGCCACGGTGGCAGCTGTCGGAGGTGCCCTGGGTGGGTTTGTCGCCCCGCTGGGGACAGCTCGGTGCTCAGGTGTTTGCCAAGGGCCGGGCTGAGCCGCACTCGAGCGCTGGGTGCGGACCAAGAGCAGCACCTGACAATTCCCTGCAGCCGCCCCAGGCCATTCCTGGCCCGTTCCGTGGCTGCCCGTGCTCAGCCCCGTGTCCTGGGGGAATCAGTGGGGTTTGGGGAGCTGCCCGTGCCTCCAGCCCAGCTCCTGCCATCCCACACCATCCCGGGAAGGGTTCGTGTTCCCTGGGGACCGGTGCCATCGTGGCCTGAGATTGTGCAATCCTTCCTTAGGGTCTTCCAGCATTCCCAGGGCAGGGAATGGAGCGGGTTCCTTCTGACCCTGCTCGTGTGCCTGGCTCCCATCACAAACCTCTGCCCTAAAACCTCCATGCCCAGACCGGTTTCCCCATCACCATCAGCCCACTGGGGATGTCAATGCTGGGAAAACTGCAGCTCTTGGCTTTCCTTTCCCACCGGGCGGGCTGGGGCCGTGTCTCTGCCGCAGAGAGCGGCTGGATGTGTCCCCCAGCCCTTCAGAGCAGGGCGCTGCTGGAGCTGGTGCTGCTGGCACTGGGGGGACATCACCCCCAAACCCCTTTCCCACCTTCCTCCTTGTCCCTGGAGTATTGCAGAAGCTCTTTCTGCCAGGCTCGGGGCCACAGCCGGGACTCGGGGTGTTGTCACCGAGTATCGGTTGCTCCTTATTGCCGGTTTGACTTGCAGCTCCCGGCCCTGCCACGTTCCGTGCCCTTCCTGCCTCCCGGCGCCCCGTGGGAGGGCGTGGGGGACCAAATCAGCGCCTCTGTCACCGCCTGTCACCCCAAAAGCCAAGCGCAACACCGCTCTGGGGATCCAGTTCCCACTGCCAGAGAGATTGGGGTCAAGCCTTTGCAGGAAAAGGCTGTGTCCAAGCCTCACGGCTGGGAGTGGGAGCGGGGAGCCGGCACCCCAAATCCCTTGGGATGGGAGGGGATGTGTAACACGCTCCTCCCTTGCAGGGCTCAGCACTCCTGGCTCCCAGGGCTGCGCACCCTCCTCCTGGCCCCGCTGCTCACCTACACCTCCTTGCCCTTCCTCATCCGCCTCTTCCCCAGCGTGCTCACCAAATTTGTCTACCTGAACTTCCGTGAGTATCCCGGGGCTGTCCCATCCAGGAGAAACCCACAGGGATCCAGAGCTGGCTGCTGCAAACACCCCAAAGCACGGGTGGGACCCATGCCAGCGCTTATCCCGCTCCTGCTGTGCCGTGGGCTGCCAGAGGAGGCACGGAGGGATCTTTCCCCGTGTTTTGCAAGCTCTTAAAAAGCCGTGGTGCTGCCGACCCTGTTTACTGCCTGCAGTCACAACACGCCCAGGCACGCTCAGCAGCAGCGGGGCTGGAAATTAGGGTGGGATGAGATGGCAAAAGGCTGAGCTCGCCTGCCTCAGCACGGCCCTTGATTAATTTCAAACAAATAACACGCTGATTTAGAAAGAATTGTATAAAATCAGCTGGATAGGAGGATTCTGGATGATGGCTGTGATTTCTCCATCAGTGGCCTTCCCCTTCTTCGTGGACTTTCGGCGGCCGGAGGTGCTGGTGACCAACACCATCAACCTGCAGCTCAGCACGGAGCCGGGTGTCACAGTCGGTGTCTGGTGAGCAGGGTGTCCTCAGCAGGGACAGCAGGGTCCTGGGGAGCCCCCCGGGGTAACCCCACTGTCCCCCCAGGCACACGGTGCCGGGCAGCAGAGGGGCCGAGGCGCGGGGCAAGGACCAGCGCTGGTACGAGGAGGCTCTTGCTGATGCTCACCCCGTGATCATCTACCTGCACGGCAATGGGGGCACCAGGTGAGTTCCTGACATCCAGCACCGGGGCAGGGTGGCTGCTCGGAGGTGAGAAGCAGCAAACTCCATGCAGCAGCCAGCAGTGCTGTGCGGGGCTGTTGTTGTTGTCTCTGACCCCAGCAGTGAAGGAAAATCCCAATAAAATAAAGGGAAGAGTCAAAATCTGTCCACCCCACAGCAGCATCCAGCTCTTCCCTCCTGGGATTAGGTCACCCTGGTTCCTCAGCTGCACTGGTGCTGGAGGGGAGGGTCCCTTGGGGTCTCCCCGAGCTCTAATCCCATTTTCCCCATCAGGGCTGCGAGTCACCGTGTCCAGTTCTTGAAGGTAAGTGGTGGCCTGTGGGGACAGTGGGACCAGCGAGGCTCCTGCTGGCTCTGGGGACCCCAGAGAGGCCCTGTGCAGAGTGAAGGGCCGTGCTGGGGGTCCTGGGGTGCGTCCCCTGCCAGGACATAACGCGGTGCTGCTCTGACAGACGATGGGGGCTGCTGACTTTCACATCCTGGCTCTCGACTACAGAGGTAAATTGTCCCCCTGCCTCTTGCTGGGTGATCCCCCTCTTGGGGCCTGTCCCCACCAGGGTTGTGACACTGAGCTGTGTCCCCCACAGGCTATGGGGACTCCACTGGACACCCCTCAGAGAGAGGCTTCACCACGGATGTCCTGGCGCTCTATGACTGGGCGAAAGCGCGGAGTGGGAACAGCAGCATCCTCTTCTGGGGACATTCCCTGGGGACAGGGTTGGTGCAGGGGGCGGGATGGGGGCACACCAGAGCCCACCCTGTGCCCTCTGACACTGCAGCCAGGCTGGGGCCACCTGGGGATGGACCAAGGGCTTGCAGCAGCTCCTTGGTAGAGGCCCCTGCAAAGCCAAACTCGGCCAACGAGGGGAATCTGAGGGTGCATCCCTCACTTTGCTGCTTCCCCTCACTGGCACCTCTCCTGTCACAGGATTGCCACCAACGCAGCGAGGAAACTGCAGGAGGAGCGAGGTAAGGGCCAGCATGGATGGCTTGTCCCCATGCAGTGTCACCCCGAGGCTCTGCCCTGGCCTGGCCTGAGTTTGGGGCCGCAGAGGAGATGAGGAGCCCTCCCTATCCTTCCTCCCTGCTGGAATGGGGACATCTTGGCCCCACTACTGCCTGGGAGGGGAGTGTGACAGCAGCCTGGCAGGGGGGACAGCCCCTCAAAGCCATGCCCACTGCCACCTCAGTCTGCCCTCAGGGGTCCAGGTTGATGCCGTGGTGCTGGAGTCTCCCTACACCAACATCCGAGACGCAGCCGCCAACATCCCCATCACCAAGGTGAGTCTGGGGGCTCTGCCTGGGGGTCCCCCAGCAGTCACAGGAGGGGGCTCGGCCTCTGGGGTCCCCAGCTGGTGACAGTGGTGCCCATGGGGTCTCCCCTCTCGCAGTGGAACCCAAGGAGTGGTTTAGCACCCCCAAACTCTCTCCCTGCCAGATCTACCGGCAGTTCCCGGGTTTCGAGTCCCTCATCCTGGACTCCCTGGCTCGGGCAGGAATGTTCTTCCACAGTGATGAGAAGTGAGTTCCTGCTGGGAAGGGGCACAGCAGAGCCCAGGGGCTGTGGGAATGATGCCAGGACCACCTGGCTGAGGGGAGGTGTCAGTCACCCCACAGAAATCCCTTCACTCCTGTGTTTACCCAGCTTACTCATACTTCCAAAGTGGCTTTTTATTTGCGTAATGTCAGGTATTACTTTGATTATTGAGCAAAGTCCACAAACCACCATCGTTATTTGGGTGCTCTTGTTCCTTGTAGCCACACAGAGCCTGCCCAAAATCTGATTTATGGGTGCTTTAAACCCATAAATCTGACCCTATAACTGGGGGTTAAGGTGATTGAGGTGCTTGGTGCTGCCATGCCAGGGCAAGCAGCATGGGCACCACCCAGGTGGGCATGAGGGGCACTGCTGGGGGGGTCAGGGCGCTGTGGGAATTTCACCAGGGGTTGGGGAGGCTCTGGGGAGAGTCCTCAGGGCTGTTCTTGCTGCCTGCAGTGTGAAGGTGCTGGGCTGCCCCCTCCTCATCCTGCACGCAGAAGATGACGGAGTCCTGCCTCCAAAGCTGGGACGCAAGGTGGGCACCAGCAGCCGGGCTTTGAGCCTGGCTTTGGAGGGCTGAAGTGGCCAGAGAGGGAATGGCCACGCTCCAGGAGGGGTTTGGGGTCCCCTGCTCGTGCAGTAACCGCGCTCCCACCCCGTGGCAGCTCTATGAGACAGCACACAAAGCCTACAAGGACAAATCCAAGGTGAAGTTCATTACCTTTCCCGAAAAGCTGGGCTTGGGCCACGACTACATCTCCTTCAACCCAGAGCTGCCTGCCCTGGTGAGGTAAGTGCTGCTCCACAGAAATGGGGGGCACTGGGTGAGCCACGTGCTCCCCTTCCACTGCTGCAAGCTCAGAGCTGAGAGCTGCCTGGCCCCTGCTCCTTCCCCTCCCCACGGTGTTTGCTGGCATCATTTTCTAAACTTCAGTCGCCCCCCAGTGCCCTGAGCCTGTCCTCACCTGGGTGGCTTGGGGAGGTGGCTTTGAGGCCACCAGCTCCTCCTTGCCCTGGGTGCAGAGATGCTCCAAGCCCAGCTCAGCCCCGCATGCAGGGATCACAAATCAGGCTCTGACGCAGCACAGGAGGGTCAGTGACACAGCCAAAGATTTATTACATCTTGTTGCAGAGACTTCTTAAACATGAAGTGATGCCAGTTGCTGCTTGCACTGATCCCATGCTCCCTCAAATCCACTCCAGGACACCCCGTATGGCACTGAACTTACTGCTATAAGTAATAAAAACTACTAAGAAACTTTTAAGTCACCCTCTGCCTCCAGGGATGGAGCATCTTGAGGATTACTCGAGGGATGGAGACACTGATGTGGTCTGGGCCACCAGAGCCACAACTGGGAGCATCCCCCAGGACGCTGGTGGGGATACATGGGCCTGGCACCTCCCTATCCTGCTTCAGCAGCAGCTGTGAGGGCCCAGACAGCTGTGTCCAGCTGTGTCCAGCTGTGCTGCCCACCCCACCCCTGGCCAGCCCTCTTCCTGCGTGAGCACTGGTGGAAGCAAGCCCAGCCCTAATTTTCAGCTTCAGCAAACAGCCCCCTTGGGACTCCAATGGCACTTCTTTATTTTTAGCACCTAATGCAAGCAACAGGGCCACGTGGTTTCGCTTTCCACACGGACACTTAGGTTGTAAAAACCCCCCTCTCCCTCCTGCCCACCCCTAGGGAAAGCCAGCAGCAGCAGCAGCAGCGACACAGAGACTCAGACAGCAGAGAATTTTACAGCGCACGTGCTCGCGTTCCCTGGCTCCGGCCGGCGCCGCCCCGGCCCCTACGCCGCGGTGCCGTTGGGGGTCTTGTCCTGCCCCGCATCCCTGGGCTCATTGGGTGGGGGAATCTTCAGGTCCGAGGGCTCCACGTGCCAGATGTCCCGGGCGTACTCCTTGATGGTGCGGTCGCTGGAGAACTTGCCGGCCGCCGCGATGTTCCTGATGACCATCTTGGTCCAGGCCTTGGAGTTCTGCAAGGAGAGGGGTGGGATTGGCCCCAAGGCTGGATCTCAGCCCCTGCAGCACCACAGGAGCCCATCTGTGGGCACGGCCCTTCTCCAGGATGGGATGCTGTGTGCCAAGGCAGCTCCCTGCCCTGTCCCCGGGCTGGCACTCACCAGGTACAGCTCGCTGACCTTCTCCTGGCACTTGACGTAAGCCTCGTAGTCTGCAAAGACTTTAAACCTGTAGCAGCCAAGAAAGGAGGAGTCAGGAGCAGGAGAAATAGGAATGCAGGCTGCCTGATCCGAGGCGTTGTTACACCCCTGACCCTTAAATCCAGGTTAAACTTCAGGTTCCTTTACCCTGGTGAAGGTTCCTTTACCCTTTGGTGCAAAGGAGAAATCCCCACCAGGTATTCTCAAGAGGTGAAAAACCACACAAAAGTTTACTTGCAAAAATAGAGCAAATTCAGGAAACTCTGGCAAAAGGAGTAAATACAACATAGAATTCAATGTAAAACCACTTATCACAGCATTATTTAGCATTAATTTAGTGTTAAGCATTTACTTAGAATTTATTTAGCATTTGCTTTGCTCATGTAACTGGGAAACATTTAAAACCTTAAGATGTTGTGTTACCCATAAAGCTCCATGAAAGGATTAAGAGAAGGAGAGAGAAAGATGGAAAAGGCACAGAAAAAACACACAACTACCAACTCCTGGGTTCCAGCGTGAGTGAGGTAAAAACCCCGAAGATCTCGGGGCAGAAAAACGGCCATGACACCCTCAGGCCCTTTTATAGCCGTAGCCCTTCATAGGCCCGCCCCTAGGCAGGACTTCTGGTGGCTCGGCCAATCAGAAGCTAGATAATACTGCACCCTGTGTGATTGATTGGCAGATCGGCCAATCAGAGGCTCGGTTAGCGCAACCCGGCGCACCAAGGGGCCGTGATTGACAGCTCTGCCAGGCTGAGGGGTCTGGGCAGTGCCTCAGCAGAAAGCCGGGCCTGACCCCAACCCCCCACACACAGAGGGTCCCAAGAACCCCCAAAATGTCTCGAGACATCGATCTAATCCCATCTCTGACATCTCCAACACAAAGCCTTCAGTCACGTTTCCCCTCCCCAAACCTTGTTGGTAAACAACCCTGGATGCCCCAGGGGGGGGAAATGCAGGGAAAGCATTTCTCCGATCCCAACACCCATGGCTGACCAGTGCTCTGGCCAGGAAAGCCCTTGAGATGCCTCAAATCATCTGGAAGGGCTGCACACCCAAAGGCATTAAGTGACAATGGCCATCCGTGGAGAGTCTGTGCCTGAGGAACATCATCCATGAGCAGTGTGGTCCCAGCCCCTGCTGTGGCCACGGGAGACACCCAGCCCAGGGGACGGGCGGTACCCTTGTACCTCACCTGTCGTGGTGGAAGAGCATGTTGACCACATCGTTGAAGAGGTTGGGGTCTTTTGGGGAGAAGAAGCCACTTTTAATCTGGTCAACAGCCTGTTTCAGCTCGGGGAGCCGGTCGTAGTAGACCTGGGCGTTGTACCTGGAGAGAGGGAGGCTGTGAAATGGTGCTGCCCCAGGTACCCGAGGTGACAGCCCCGTGGCATCCCCAGCCCTCACCCTTTCCTGTCCAGCTCCGTGACATCCTCCACCCTCATGCCAAAGATGAACAGGTTTTCCTCTCCAGCCTCCTCAGCCATCTCCACGTTGGCTCCATCCATGGTGCCGATGGTCAGAGCCCCGTTCAGCATGAACTTCATGTTGCCCGTCCCTGAGGCCTCGGTGCCCGCTGTGGAGATCTGCTCCGACAGGTCGGTCGCAGGGATCACTGCCAACAAAACACATGGACACGAGGGGCTCGAGGTGGCCAGCTTTGGGTTGGTTTCCTGCTGAAGGACCATGGTGGGAGCCACAGGGTGGAGGGACAGCCCCTCCACACAGCGTGTCCCACTCAAGGTACCTTTCTCTGCCAGGGACACCCTGTAGTTCTCCAGGAAGATGACCTTCAGCTTGCTGCCCACCATGGGGTCATTGTTCACCACCTGAGCCACGGCGTTAATGAGCTTGATGATCATTTTAGCCATGTGGTATCCAGGGGCAGCCTGGGAGAAAAGCCACAGGTGAGCCAGGAGGGCTGGTGCCAGGGGCAGGTGAGGCACACCCAGCTCCCACATGTCCAGGGAACAACCTGTTCATCCCTGCTCCCATCTCCTAAACCAACACATGTTACACCACAACATTTTCGGGGGCTTCCATGACCACAGACAGCAGATGGTTGTCCAAGCCCTGCTAAAATTTGCTTGGGTTGAAGTACCAGTGCTACTGCAGTGCTTCTGGGACAACTTCATGGATTTAACACCATGGAATCTTGGAATTAAGTTGGAAAAGCCCTCTGAGATCATCAAATCCAACTGTTCTCCCTGCACCACCAAGGTCGCCACCGACCCATGTCCCCAAGTAAGTGCCACATCCACATGTCTTTTAAGTTCTTTCCAGGGATGAGGACTCCACCACTGCCCTGGGCAGCTGTTCCAATGCCTGACCACCCTTTTGATGAAGAAATTTTTTGTAATATCCCATCTAAACCTCCCTTGGCACAGCTTAGGGCCATTTCCTCTGTCATGTCCCTTGTTCTGACCCCTGCCAGCTGCACCTTCCTGTCAGGGAGTTGTAGAGACATGACCCCATGGGACATCTGCACCCACATCCCCCAGGACACTCCCAAGGACTTCCTCCAAAATGCCTAAAACTCCTGACCCAACCTACCTTGCCTCCAATGATCACTGTCCTCGGCACAAAGAGCTTTGCAGGATCCCTCCTGATTCCTGGAGAAAACAGCAGTGTTGGTGTGGGACAGGAGGCACAGGGGTGCTGGTGCAGCCCAGGGGCACCCTGTCCCCTCGGGGCGTGGTGGCTTACGGTTGTACATGGTGATGATGTGCAGGCAGTTCATCAGCTGCCGCTTGTACTCGTGGATCCTCTTCACGTGCACGTCGAACATGGAGGAAGGGTTGATCTTCACCTTGTACTCCTTCTCCAGGTACAGCGCGAACTTCACCTTGTTCTCCTGGGCCAGGGCAGGGACCACGTCAGCCCCCAGGCAACATCCACCCCCTCTCTCTGCTCCCCCTGCCCACACCCCTCACCTGCTTCACTTTGGCCACCTCCCGGATGAAGAGGTCGTCGTCCACAAACTCATGCAGCTTGGTCAGCTGGCTCAGGTCCCGCACGTAGTCTTCCCCGATTTTCTGCAACAGGAGCAAGGGCACATGCTGGTGGGGGGATGGTTTGGGATGGAAAAGATCTTGAACATCATCCAGCTCCCACCCCTGCCTTGGGCAGGGACACCTCCCACTATCCCAGGGTGCTCCAAGCCCTGTCCAAGCTGTCCTAAATCACTTCAAGGGATCCAGGGGCAGCCACAGCTTCTCTGCGCACCCTGTGCCAGGGCCTCAGCACCCTCACAGGGAAGAATTCCTTCCCAATATCCCATCTCAGCCTGTCCTCTGTCAGTTTACATCAATTCCTCCTCCTCCTTGTCCCCAGTCCCTCTCCAGTTCTCCTGGAGCCCCTTTAGGCCATGGAAGGGGTGCTAAAGTCTCCCCTGGGGCCTTCTCTTCCGCAGGCTGAACACTCCTGGCCTGGTAGAGCCAGGAGCATCTCCGTGGCCTTCTTTGGACTTGCTCCAGCAGCTCCACATCTTTCTGATGTTGGAGACCCCAGGGCTGAAGGCAGCTCTGCAGGTGAGGTCTCACCTGAGCGGAGCAGAGGGGCAAAATCCCCTCCCTTGACCCTCAACTCCCCAACCATGCAGAAGATGTAAATGGTTGAGGCTCTCATGGCAGCCTGGGCTCAGCAGGGAAGGGGCGGTGGCCGTGGCCCGCTCCCCCCATGCCGGTACCTCCGCGATGAGCTCCGCCAGCCCCGGGTTGCAGAGCAGGAGCCAGCGCCGCGGGGTGATCCCGTTGGTCTTGTTCTGGAACTTCTCCGGCTCCAGCTCCGCAAAGTCCTCGAATCTGCGAGGGTGAGGATGGCACAGCTCCAGCCTTGCCCACCTGGCACCACCACCCCTCTCCAAGCGAGGGTGACCCATCACCACCTCCCTCCCCTCGCTCACACTTGAGTCTTGACGATCTCGGAGTGGATCTTGGCCACGCCGTTGACGGCGTGGGAGCCCACGATGCAGAGATGGGCCATGTTGATCCTCTTGGTGTCCCCCTCCTCGATCAGGGACATCCTCCGCAGCCGGTCCACGTCGTTAGGGAACAGGGACGCGATGTGCTGCCGGTGGAGCCAGAGAGGTGGTGAGAGGTGGTGGCAC